AAACAATATCTTAAGAAAAAATGTGGTAAGCGCGATCATTGGTAAGATGAAGAGGATCCACTGGTTACTTAGTATCGGACTTTGGTCAGATTTTATCAGACATTAAAATTTATTATGTGGTTATAAATATGAGGACTAATAGCCAATAAGAAGTACTAGGTCAGATATATGTACATTATATTTAATATTTTTATATTACCGCTGTGTTTATTATATATACCTAACTTATTTATGAAGCGCCAGACGTTAGTGTTGATCATAATCAGTAGAGCTGTATCAATTTCGTTAAGAATGGGTACTTACTTTTTTAATATTTTTTAATCAACATTTAACCAATTTATGTTATAACTTCAGATTCAACAAGGGCAAAAAACATTGCACTACTTTAAAAAAAATCAAAAATAATAAAACGGGAGCTACAAACATTACCCCAACATTACAACACGGGCCCCTAAAGCTCAAAAAATTATATTCAAAAGGAAGGCTACGGTTATCTGGCTGTCTATCTGGCGACGGTAGCCGATTCGTCAATGCCCCTTCTTTAATTAATAAAAGAGTCTTTCTTTTGAGAGAGAAAAAAATGAATGAAAACCTTAATTAATTTGGGTCGGCCGAAGTTACGTAAATTATGATCATCGGTAGGCCCTCAAGATTTGCAATGGTAAGGCATTTTAGTATTTTCTCCCAGGGGTATTGAAATAAATCCGGTTTGATAAAATATTAGAGGGAGTTTGTTTTAATGAAAAGTGTTGGTGTTTAAGACCAAAACACGCTGATTATTTATGTAGAGCCTTATTTCTTACTTTTTTGGGTTGTTTTTGCAACCTTTGGAGATTAATTATTGACGATTAATTGCTTGTGAGATTCTAAGTTAAAGAAACACAGATATTTACAAATTGATGTTACACTGTTTGATAAAAAATCTATTAAAAATATTTGTCGTTTTAACTTGATTAGAGATGACGTTTAGTAAATTAATTACTAGTAATTTATATCAATAATCAAGTCCAAACAAAAAGTAAAACCAACAATACCAACATACACACAGACACAAAACGAATCAAAGGTAAACAACAATTTAAGGTCCAAAAATAAAAGGATGAGGATATTTAAATAATAACTCGTTTCAATTTACATACGGCCTTTTTGAGAGAGACGTGCGCACTTAGGCAGTGAGGTACCATTCGTATAATATGCACATATTTAAAAAGGTGCCGTCTCATCTCTTACAATTAGTGGTACTTTTTGTTTAAGGCCTTTCCCCTCCCTGAGGACTTATGCTGCCTAGTATCAAGTTTGTTATAATATATTGTGTTGTTATTTAATTTGGTATCAACCAGAATGGATTGTCAAAATCTGAGTAAAGCATGAATTTTGAAGTCGTAGACGGTAGATTATACATAACATAACATCACGCCTTTTATCCCTGAAGGGTAGGTAGATGTGTGAATTATGGCAATTAAAACCACTGTACAATGTAACACCCACTTTTCACTATTTACGTTATGAGTCCCATGTAATAGGGGTGAGCCTATTACTATATACTGGGCACAATTCCAAACTCCGTGGTACAACTAAATTTTTTTATAAAACCCAGTAATACTTTGCTCGACCCGGGAATCGAACCTGAGACCCCTTGCCCGGCAGTTGCATTTGCGAACACTCGGCCAACGAGGAATGTAGTCAAAAAACACAACAATGTTTTTAATTCACTCCGAGATCGATCTCAGACCACAGTAAATAACAAATATTTATATACCACTAGAGAGTATCATGCTTTCACAGCCCTCATATAATAATAGTGTCAATATTGATATAGTTTAATAGTTAATAATACAGCGTATACGGGAGTGTCAATATGTACAGTAGCCAGGTTTGTATGTAATTAAGCTGATTATTTGCCAATTATATTACGAATGGAGGCTATTACGAAATAATGAGATACACGTGTTAAATGGACGCGGGTTTAGAAGGTGGGAATAATGGAATAAAGCATTTAGATATACATTACATTACATAACATCACGCCTTTTATCCCCGAAGGGGTAGGCAGAGGTGTACATTATGACACTGTACAATGTAACACCCACTTTTCACTATTTATGTTATTAGTCACATACAATTGTATATTAACTGTACTTTTTATAAATCATGAATAATTTGAATTGATACGTTATCATCTTAACAGGAATACAACTCACATACCTAACTACATAGGTAGATAAAAAGAAATCAAAGAAGTCAACATGTTGCTTCAAATAAAACCAGACGAGTTTCTGAAAAACCAATTTGTGCAGAAACGCTTAAATAATTAAGATATCCAGACTACTACAGAACTACATTCTGATAAATTAGACCCACAAGATGTTTCTACGAAGCGTGACGAATCCGATATGAAATTTGTTCCTACACCATTTTATTTTTCCTTGAAATAAAGTGACGACGTTTTAATAAAACTACAATCTTGTGACACCTTACTATAACAATGACTCAGCATTAAAAATGAACCTTATCACTTTGATCAGAAGCTCTTAAGTCTTGTAACACGAGAGAATTATGCAAACTATCTGCACTGTCTAAGACTTTGCGTGGACAACAAAATTGAGACAGTAGTTCGAACAACACAAAGTTTATTATTGAATGCAGGAAATATTTAGCGAAGGTACTATGTAACATCCTAATTAGGTATAATGGTTGACATCTTTATCGTTTCCAAGGTGAATCTAACCGCAAAATTTAAACTGCGAAGCTCCAATACTGAGAAGATAGCTATAAAATGGAATCTAAACAACTTAATTTTATTGGAGATTGTAAAAATCCTTGTGTTTAGGTGTCGCCGTTAATAAGGCTTATTATGAAAATATTTGTTCCTACAGCCGGTAGGTAAAACCGCAAAATTTTAGCGCGGTAGGTTGTGGCCTTCATCGATTTTATTCCTTTTTGATTGGAATCGATAAAATTGGGTTTCGAACACCCAGTGCGAGGTGTCAGTTTTTATCGATTGCTAATTATGTGGAGTCGTTGATGTCTTAATCGTGTTGTTGGATCTCACCGCAGGAGTGAACGCGGTAGGTCAATTGGCGAGGTGGTGACGCCGATGGATGATTCAGAGTGCATAGGTACCTCATGAATGTTCGAAGTTTAATGTACAAGTGGTTAAATGTATTGTATGAAGGAATGTAATTTAGACCACATAAATTGCTTATAATATTATTGCTAGTGGTTTATAGATCCTAAATCCTAATGGGACTTAAAATATGAATGCCCTACTTTACAGGAAAATTAATATTATCTATCTTATCCATACTTTCAGTTACAAAAAGTTGTTCGTAATATTAAACATTTTAATCACTTTTCAAGTACCAATTGTTTCATTAATCAGAACACGACAGACTAGTCGTTAATGTACTTTAATCACATCAATTTTCATTTATAGCATCGTGTAATAATTTCTTTCACATAAAATTCGAATTAGATTCGTTGCTGCTTTTATTACATCGCTTAGCATATTAGTGACAGCATTCATAATATAATTCGGTAGCTTACACGAAGTGTTACGATGTATGGTGGCTATTGAATAAATTATTATGAAATCCATGGAATTTACGTGTTAAAGTTGTATTGATGTTGTGGTTTAATGAAGAAAATTGGTGATTTGGGATATAGACAAAGATAGACATTACCTACAAACATGCAAATATGCTTCAACTCGAAAATTACTAATATTCATATTGGGCATTATAAAGTCTAGCCATATGTAAAACTTATTGTACCAAATATCACATATTTAGCAGACGACTTAGAAACTACTCAACCAACAACTTATGAAGACAATTTTTGGGATAACGACAAAATCCAAAATGAAGTTCACAAAACGGATGATACAGCAACACTATCTCAAATTAAGATACAACAGCAAATATCAAAAGCTAATTCAAATTCAAACAAAGATTAGCATACAAAAATGAATAAACCACACACAACTCCTAATTTTCAAGTCATTACCTTACCGCTATTTAATGCAAGGAAACAAGGTGAAGAGAAAACTATACTTCCACAGCCAGATGTGAATATCACAATGTTAGTATTTCGAAAGAGATACAGTTAAGTCCCTTAGATTCAGAGTTCTCCAATGTTTACTGACAAACTTACAAAACTGTGTACTGAGAATTTTAATTTCTTAGTTTCTTGGAAAAGACAAAGCGATAGGAAGGGATTAAGAAATATTTTCGACGGAAGTTTGTAGTGTTCTTACTGTTTGTTGGAAATTGTTTTTGGGAAAGACTTTTTTTGAATTGCTATTTCGCTTAAAACGTTTTGAGTAAGAATTTTGTTTTGATTACTATGTTTATAATGCTTTCTTTTCTAGTATTAGAGGAGATTTTCTGTATTTTTGTTTGAAGATAGGCTACGAATCTTAATTAAATATTTAATACATATCTTACTATCTTATCACAATAAACTTTTGAATCCAAAATATGTTCATAGACATAACTTATTGACAGAAACACAAATAGTTGATCAAGATAAAGTTGAAGAAACATGAAATGAAATATGACTTAATCCCATAGACGCAAGTACCAACTCACATAATTATGACAAATATTTACTAAACTGATAAAGCAAGTCAAGCTGGATATTCATGACTAAAACAAAACTAAACCATCAGATTAGATAAACTGTACCGTCAAACGTTGAAAATATTCATATAAAATATTCAAGATTGTAAGAGGGAATTTTTAAAGAGCTCTATGTTAATCCGGGTCGCTTAGACCGTTTTTATTAGCCACACAGATAAGGATTAATTAAAAATGGTATATTAAGAGGTCTGACTTCTTAATTGTGGAACAAAGTGTGAAGATAAAGAGATAAGGAAGATTAGTGAAACTAAATATCCTAGAAATATAATTAAATTGCCTACTAAAGAGATCTCGAAGAATTTAGAAGAAATATTTTATAGTTAGGTACAATAATGTATAAAAGATTATTGAAAAACTCACTGGTTCCGTGTCGCAAGTCTCCAAATCTGGAATAGGATCGTCCCCGCAATAGTACTCCGCTTGCAGGAACGGTGGTCGAGGCGGTGGCGGCAACAGGAACTCCGGTGGAGGTCCAAGACAGTCGCACTCCGTCAAATCCGTGGGTTCTATCTCCCACATCGCGTAATCTAACTTAACACTACTCACAACCTTCTCACTGATATCACTATCACTTAAATAACCACTAGTATCACGTTTTTCGCGTTTCACTTCATTTGAAGTCCTCTCTTTAATTAAATTCGCTATGTAAAGTTCGTCGTCCACGTCGCTCCATACATTTTTTCTAACCTCCTCATCTTCTAATGTATCTTCTAGTGAATCAGTTGCCTCCGCTATAACACTATCGCTGAGTCTGTCTGCGTACTCTGAGTTTTTGTTTTCTGCAACTGTACTTCCAAGAACATTTTGCTTTTCTTTCTCACTGTCAGCATTCAAGTCACGAGCTTGCTTGTATTTGTCGTTTCTATTGAAACCATTTTTATATGTCCAAACAGCGTACAACGACGCTTTAATTGGACTCCTGTTGTATCTTTCGGCCATACGCAGTCTTATTTCAAGTTATCTGCAACAATAAAAAACATATTTATTTATAACGAACGCTTAGATCGAAAGGCCATTACTGGCTAAACCAATTTCTTATCTGACGGACAACGTATCGATTTTACAGTGGTATCAAACTACTTATTATTTAATAGAAGAGCTAACACCTCATTTTGTATAACAAAGCAGCCGCAATTAGAACCTACCATTGGTGCGAGTACAATGGGTGAGGGGCTAGTATCGATATCATCGGGTGCTGCGTTCTCTGGTTATTTTAATTTATTTTTTATCGCATCAAATTGGATGGACGGGTTTCTAGCTATGCACTCGGTATTCCGCCGCTATCACGATGGAACCGTCAGTGAGGCGGTTTCGAAAGTTTAAAGTTCATCGTTTTTTGATATTTAATTTTGATCAAACTATAGTTGAGTGTAGGCGAATAATTGGATTTTGATTTCTTATTTTGTTCCACGGAAAACGGCGGTAGAAAGAAAGTTAAAAATACGTGATTTATAGCTAACTCGGGATTGGCTTCCGGAACAAATTAATACTTGACACTAATATTAATTGTGCTTATAATCAAACAGTAAAGAAGTGGGAGTTTTGTTTTAAGAAAATAAACATTAAAGAAAAATATAAGCACGGCATCACCAGTTAGAATTGGCATGATGGATATTAAAAGTAACCAAATCGAACTAATTCATAAATTTTTCGTTTGAAATCGTTAGAATACCAACGTTTTTGTTTTTTAATAACGATATTTATTTTCAAAAAGGTTATAAAAGTATTACAGCTTCTTTACGGACGCACAAAACCGTGGGCAGAACTAACAAACAAAAACAAAACCTTTCTATAAACACTTGTATGTACTTTGTAATATTTTTCGATAGAGATGTGCCATGAGCACGCAATTATGCATGCGTAAGGCGTTTCTAAGGAGGTACCGCAAGATTGCGAGGTCGTAGGGTCAACAGCGTCAGATAACCCGCAGGTACCAGTGAATAAAATATGGAGAGGTGTTATGGCATACAAAATAGTTTTAGGTACGTGCAATTTATGAATGTTTAAATTACCATTGGAATGGTCAATGGGAATCTAGGAAGAATAATTTTGCTGCATTTTTTAGTGCTGCGGTTATAGGGTTGTTTTAGATATAGATGGGCAAATAAATACATACAGTTTCAGTATATTAGAGGTATATTTGATGGGTGACGTCTGACCACTATCTCGCCTGGTGGTAACTGGCAAGCGATGATGTGGTCTATTTTGAATGGTCTTTAATCGGGATCCATGGGTAAGCATTGAACTAAATTCAATACTTTGATACCTATTACTAGTACTATATGTACTTTTGTTTTCCTTGTAATGAACAAAGTATTACTTCATGTCTGTTGAATGTTATTATGTTTGTAGTTTTAAAAAATAAAAATTACCATTATACTTCTGATTTAATTTTTGCTATTGATGTATTCTTTCATCGTATATTGCTAAAGTATTACTAACATCATCAATATAAAGTTCTATTCAAATCATTATGATTTTAACTCCATTATCTTTCTCATTTTTTGTTTCTTTATCCAATTCAAATGTCTTATAACTTTCATTTCTGTCCATAACAGTACTATTGTAAGCAATAGCTGTTAAGAATACGATATCTTCACACCTTACCTGTCCATTACACATTAAAACATCGTTTTCTTTTTGCATATTCATTGCGATCTATCAATGTATGCCATTGAGGTCGTAATCTTGGGTACTCGATGTCTCATTAACATTTGGCGCGCTCAGTGGCCACTCGATTGCTGTCAGAGGAAGTTTGACAGCGATACAATACTCCACGAGAGCCCTTAAGCAACTTAACGAACCCATTCTATAGATTTTCTCACGTGAATTATTATTGCTAGTGGATAACGGTCTGCGAGGGTCGCATGTGTCGATCGATCTGGTTTGAGTGCATGAGCGAAATAAATAGCTGTGCAAATAGGTTTGAGTCGATTCGAGTTCTATTCGTATTTGTGAATTTAAATTATAGCTGCAGGCAGCTGTTTTGATTTAAATTCTAATTATGTTTGCGTTTATTAAAGTATTGGTTTAAAACATGTCTACTATTTTAATTGTTATATGATTTTGTGCAGATAATTAAAACGAAATATCTCTAAATCCAATACATAAACACAGTAGAAGCTTATGTAAAAACTAATTACCTATGTTATTAACAAACTTCTTCAGTCTTCTTAATGTTAACTCAGCTAATCACACAAATACGGTTAAAAGTACTTTGCACATTAAAAGAAACTATAATGAGGTAGGACAAGGCTGTCATAATAAACAACAAGAATATAAACTAGTTCTTTGAAAGCTAGACAATATGAAGCTAGAAAGGCATTCAGCAAAACACATCAAGTCCAGGAAAACAATATAAGAAAGCCATTTTAGTTCTTAACCGTTTATTATGAGCGTTGTAATATCTTACTGCCCACACTAACTGGTTTATTACAGCTTCATAATAAATCTATCGAATTTCAAGCTTTGCTCCAAGATAAGTTGCTTTCATTGCTTTTATTTATTTGTGGTTTAATTTTCTTTATAAGGTAAGCAATTTAAGGCATTTTGTAGTGGTTTTGAGGTCAGTTTATTAGATGTAATGTTTTTCTGATCAACAATTTTTCTTAAAAATAATTCTTATAGCACGCCATAAGATCTTAATGCAAGACGAAAAATATTATCCTCAATTTCAATTGGTATCCTGCTATTGGAAATGGTGATAAAAACTCTTCCAACCCATTTTGTCTCATTGTGGAATCTAATCCAAACCTTTCAATTAGTCTAATTAATTTGACATTGAGGTTTTGTCTTTAAACCTTCTGTGACCATTCAACTATAGACAGGCAATTTCTAATAACAGAATCATGACGAAAAATTCAATTTGCGACGTTACACGCAGAACCGTTCCATTTCTTTGAAGAGCGAGCTAGTGGTTCTAACGGGTTCATATTACGTGTCAGGTCCAAGGTCGAACCCAAGTAACTGCTAGTATTACCGTAGCTTCACTTATTTTTCTTTGTAATTTAGTGTTCGAAAATCAAACATGTTATGATAGAATATTTTGAGCTTAAGGATATTTTTGTAGATGGTATAAAACGTACCTACCTATTGTTGGTTATGCAAAATAAGCTTCTAGCCTCATGTTCTTAATGTAAAATTAATACTGAGTACCCTTAGTTATTACTCCAGAGGTCGGTGCCATAGCTGTGAACTTTACAACAGTCCAATGCCTTGTACTTTGTGCAGCAAAAACTCCTTGCTTAGTAATTTTGTTTTCAACCAAAGACTAACTACTTACTTTACTTTTTACGAGAACAATGTTAATTTCGTACAATTTTAAAGAATAGGTAACATTGTTCACATTTGTCGATACTCTAGTAAAATATTTAACCCGTTTACCTGATATTGACATACACAGTAATACAAAGTTCCAAGTTCTAATACGCGTTTCCGTTACTTAAGGAATAATGTAAACAAAAAGTCCTGAGAACAAACGATTTCAAGATAGTTTTGTTATGGTGTTAAAGTAAGTAAATTGAAGTACCATTTAGAGTAAGTAATTGATTTTGGTATTCATTTCCGGGAAGTTGTGGTTATGGTTTTGTTTTAACACGTTTTCGTGGACCACAGAGGTTTCTGTTGATGTTTTGGGAATATTTTGGATCTTACTTTCTTTTGTACACATAACATAACATAACATCATGCCTTTTATCCCCAGAGGGGGTAGGCAGAGGTGCACATTACGGCACTTAATGCCACAATTTAATACCTACTTTTCACTATTTATGTTTATGTGTTCCATGTAATAGGGGGTAAGCCTATTGCCGTATACCGGTCACAAATTCCATTCTCCGTGTTACTATTGAGATTTTTTTTAAAACCCTTTAATACTTTGCCCGATCCGGGAATCGAACGCGAAACCCTTTAGATACCCAGCAGTCACACTTGCGACCACTCGGCCAACGAGGCAGTATTTCTTTTCTATTACTAGGATGTTTTGTTATAGAAATAAAGGTCTTGGGTACAATATTTCTAAGTTGTGGTAATAATTAATTTGAACTCCTAAAGGGTTTGTGATTTTATATTGTTGGATGACTTTACAGCCGAACGGAAAAACAATAGACAACTTTAAATTTTTACTAAGACTTTCAAAGTTTGTTAGTAATGAAGAATTTTTGCAATTCTTCGCACAAAGTAAAGAAGAATTTACCTATGTGTCATAAAGTCATCAGTCGTTATCTCACCGCCCAAGTTGAAAGTGAAAAAAATGAACGTAAAGAAATGAGTCACAACACAAGACACTAGAGAGAATTCTTAAATGATGAGTCGGATCTCCAACAATGTTTCTTTATTTATTTACCATTACATGATGACCCAATGCGATAAATGCGAACTATTTAATCCTAAATTATTACTTATAACTAATTACAAACAAAGCATTCCTTGTGAATTCACTCAGAGAACAGTAAAATAAGTCCGTCTCACTCGCTATGAGGCTGAGCGTGCGGAGCGTACGCGTCAGCGGTACGTCCTTTAGAAGGTTAGTTCGAGAACGCGGTTCCACCAGCAGTCAATGTTGGGATATTTTTCCTATTAGAAGATCTTTTTGATCGACTGTCTATCACGTATGTATAGTATGCATCTCAAAAGGTGGAGACAAATATCCATATTATTATGGTCTTCTCAGCTCTAGAGATGACATAACTTTTTGGGTCAGATATGCTTTTTTTATGGAATACGAGGCAAATGAACAGACGGATCACCTAATGGTAAGCGATCAGCGCCGCCCATGGACACCCGCAACACCAGAGGAGTTACAGGTGCGTTGCCGACCTTTTAAAAAAGAATACGCTCTTTTCTTATAGGTTTGAAAGTCGTATCGGTCGTATCTTGAATTAGAATGCATGTGGTCACTATCATCATCATCATCAACATCAACAGCTTATAAATGCCCA